ATTTCTCTCTCCTACTCTCAAAAACCTTTGAGTTGTCAGAGAACACTGAGGAACAAGGCTCAGATCAGAGTTATAAAGAGCTCATCTGTCTCAACTCATCTACAAGGGCGACAGCGAAGTGCTGCTCTCAGATAAGAACTTCTGAATTAGCTGTCAAAATAAATTATTTACATCCTCAGCATTTATTGGTAAAGACTGTCTTTTTAGTTTTCTCACAGATCATCTTATTGTAAGTCCCTGAAAATTACATTATTTTCAACGTAAAAGCAGATAATTTCAGGTTTGACTAATAATTGAAAGTAACTATTTGTTTTTAATAAAAACTGAAAGGATGGCTTCTCAGAGAGGCTTATGTAAAATAATTTTAAAAGTTCTCATAGGCTGGTATTGTATCACGTCTCTGGCCGCGGATCACCTTTAATGAGACACCTCGACAGTCAGACAGATGCACTACATTCCTGCCATCCCCTGCCAGGCTCCTGTGTGTCCTCTTAGTGCTAAGAGCTATCCCTTAGCAAAACATACACACTTACCCCCACACACACACATGCCCACACAACCCCTGACTGAGCTCTGATGTCAGCTATAGCAGCTCAGAGTAGCCCCTAAGGGCATAGTTCTGCAGTCCAGTGGAAAGAGTAATATAACAACCTGCTTTTCTCTTACATTGGGGTCACAGTGTGTGCCTCACAACACAGCACTTTCTGCCACTCAAGCAAAAGTCTGGATGAATCACCATGCTGTTATGAGAATTATTTTACAGTGCAAGCAGAACGGACAGGCCGCTTTTTACATTAAGTTCTTTATTTTACTTTTTGCTTGCTCCTGTGTGTGCATATTCAAAGTGGATAGCGTGTGTATTTGCAACTAAATGAGGACGTGTGTGGTCAGTGTGTATGTGCATTGTCTCATTTGTAGACTGATTTGTTTGGGCCCTCTCTGGTTTTGGAGATAAACACATAGAACCAGATATGAATATTCCTAATGGCTTTTTAATGTCTTTCTAATTTGCCCTTTAAAGAGCTCTAATGGACTGTCCCCGTGTTTGCACAGAGAGGAGGAACAGTGGATCTGACTCATTTAGTGGTTACCTTTGAGCCAGCAGACAGAAGCATTATACTTCTCCAGAACTTCTACTGTAGTAAGAAACATAATAGTCTGATATTTACTCAACAAAATGAATAGCTCCTTTGTATTTTGCAAGGTTTGAGCTTTAGAGCCAATGATGGAGTTTATGTGAAGTGAAAATTAACAATTAAGAGAAGATTTCAGGAATGAACACAGGCAGGTTGGGCATAAATGTGGTTATTAAAGTAATAGTTCAACATTTTAGGAAATGTTTTTGCACTTTTCTTGCCAAGAATTAAATGAGAAGATAACCTGTAAGCTGGGACTGGTCACCATGATGTTGCCAGGAAGCTTCAGCGAGAGATAGTCCAGCACACAACCCTTCTGTAAAACCACAACATTTCACAGTTTGATCTCTATGTATTAAACAAATGAGATATAACGTGGTAATGAGTGAGCTTTTTTGGGCAGAGCCAGGCTGGTTGTTTACCCCTTTTTCCAGTCTGTAGTTTTGTCCCAATTCAGGGGCCATACTGAGGATGCAGTCTAGACCGTGACAGGCCAAACCAAAATGGACATTCTGGCCTACAGAGGATTTTTGATTTTGATCACCAGCTGTGCCCACCCTTACTGTTGCGATGTCGACAACATGAAACTTTTTTTTAATAAACCTTGAGGTTTTAAGGCCCTTTTTTTAACAGCTATACCATTAGCTGTTCAACTGAGTTGAAACCCAATACATTTAAAGTGTAATCCTTGGGCTCTCTGTCAGTGTTGTTTGCTGCCATATTATTTTCATATTTTCATTACTGCTGTGCAATGAATCTTGGGATACATTGGGCCACTGTTACGCGACTATGCAGCCTCCAAAGGATGAGTTGGAACTCAGAATTGGGACACAGCTTTTGTGCTAAGCAAAGCTAAGTGGCTGAAAAAGGGTTTTACTCAAATATATCTAACTATTTCTTCAAAAGAATTGTGAACAAGATATGTGCTGAGGCTACCCTGTCCTCTAGAAAATGGTAGCTGGACTGCACTGACATAGCACTTTTCGTCTTAGTCTTATCCACCACTCAAAGCGCTTTACAATACATGCTCCATTCACCCATTCACACATCACAACCCTACGCTGGTGGAACAGCCATCAGGGGCAATTTTGGTTGAATCATAACGTTTATATGTCCTTGTGATTATATGTCCTACTAAATGTATTTTCTGTTGTTTAGTTGTATATAAACATAGTTTATCAGAGACAGGGTTGACTGCAGAGTACAGTTAGTTGAAAAATACTAATTTCAGTTGTTTCTGTTGGACACGCAGTGTAATGGAGACAGTAAATGTTCCCAAAAACATCTTTGGTATTTGTGTATTGCAATTTCTAGTTACTTATCAGCTGACATGCACACTAATAACATTATATCTGTGATAAGAAAAGAATTGGCCAATAATATTAGACAGTATCGTTGAGATGCATACAGTGTAGATTTATTGGTTGGCCCTTTTTTTGACATCAAATACCCTAAAAGCTTGTGTGTGTGTGTGTGTGTGTGTGTGTGTGTGTGTGTGTGTGTCTGTGTGTCTGTGTGTGTGTGTGTGTGTGTGTGTGTGTGTGTGTGTGTCTGTGTGTGTGTGTGTGTGTTTCTCTGTCACAGTGTTTTACTGATGAAACAGTGATGTAAGAGATCACACTATGTTTCTGATAGTGTAGTCAGTGATAGGAGCAGTGCGACATAGGGAGGTTAATAAGCTATGAGTTGGGTATGTTTTATTGGAGGAGCTTGCCTTATGAATCGGGCGGTTTCTCTATGTGTGTGTGTGTGTGTGTGTGTGTTTATGCGTATGTACGCCTGCGTACGTGCGTGTTTGTGTGTGTGTACCAGACAGAAAGATGGGAAGAAAGAGAGCATGTAAAGTGATATATGTGTCATTATTAATAGCGTATTTAGCCTCACAGGTGTGCCTCTTTTGTCATTGTATAACATATGTTCTGTTTAACAGTAGTAATCACTGGCACTGAAAGTGTGTGTGAGCGAGAGCAGGAGGGGAAAGGTGTGAGCAGAGGTTGATTGCAAAGCCATTTCCCAAGGCTTTGTTGCACTCTGTTAGCTGAAGAGCTCCATTTCAAAGACAATTTGTCTACTGCTCAGCACTTTGGCAAAGAGTGGCCTTGTGGTGAGGAATGTGTCTGTGTGTGTGCGTGTGCGTGTGTGCATGTGTGCGTGTGTGTGTGTTTGTGCCTTTTATGCACATATGAGTAATGTTTCAAAGGAAAAGAGCTTATGTATAAGCTTGTGTGCCCATATAAGTATATTGTAACAGTATATGCATGTGTGTGTGTGTGTGCGCACGCATTTGTGTATGTATATAGAAAAGTGGTGCACCAGAACTCCTAAATCAATCACTTGTGACATTAACACAGATGCAAGCCCCCTCCAATCATCATCTACCAGCCATCAGTGGCCTGGCTGAGTGGCCACATTAGCAGGGTCATGATCCGCTCTTCAGCTTGTTCTCAAGGCGATGCTAGCTTGGCTGTTCGCCCACAAGATTTTTGGAGAGGTCCTCCATCATCTTCAAACCGTAGACCAGCAGGAGCTGCCGCTGCAGTCACACTGAGATGGGGCCTATGCACACGAAGTGACTCTGGGCCCATTTTCACACCATTTTTTTGTTCTCTTGGCAATATTATTAAATCTATAACTATACTAATAACTATACAACATCCCACTTTCTTTCACTAAACAAATCTTAGTCAAACTCTTAATTAAAATGTCAGGTCTTTCAACATAAGATAATGACCTTCTGTCTCAATAAAGGTCCATTACCTTCTGCAGTTGAGGGAAATAAAGGACCTCATCACTATTTGAGGAAATATGGGAGTTGAAATCAATGCCCCCTGGTGATGTAATAGAAAATGTGTTTGCAAAATCATTTTGAAAGAGGATTGGCTGATGGTAAAAGTCCAACACTTGGCTACTCACTCACTCACAGGTACAGCGCTGGCCTGTGGCCGGAGCAGCAAAACATAAAGGATTGTTAAGTTATTTTAGGTATACGTCAGAATTTTCAACACTCTTGAAATGTCGCCTGTGTAGTATCTTACGTCAGATGGTGAAACCCTGTCGGACTGCATTTTTCTAGTGGTATATTTTGATTAGAGCGTTTGTTATTGATTTGATTTGAGTATAGCATTTTTATTGATTGTGCCATCTTCTAAATCCCTCACAAGACACTGGAACTGCTTGTTTTTAGACTTGCCGGACCTGCCGGGTTCTCACCTCCTCTGTTTTAATCATTTGCAGTAGTAACTCAGAAAGCTTTTGTTTGAAAGGCCACACTAAAAAGATGAATAATGTGCCATCTTAGCGACATCTTTAGATTCTTTAAAAATGAAAAGAAAAAGAAAATGTTTTTTTTTTTTGTAGCTAAGCTTTTTTAATATATATATTTATTTTCTTTTCATGCAATTGTTAACTGGTCTTGCTATGCATATGTGCAACATTCGGATGCGATGTAACAAAACTTCAGTATTATTGAAGATATGTGAAGCTATAAATATCTAAAACATGTATGTGTCTTTCATTAAGCAGTAGTGTGCACAGTAGGAAAAGCAACCACATTTCGTATGCCCTATGTCCCAAAAATGTAATATCTCAAAGTATTGTTTTTCTAAATGGGAATGTTTTTTAAGCTTGTGTTTTGGAAATTCAGATACACACAGTACGAGACAAATATGGAGTTTTTGAATGTCTGTGTTGTGTTTATCAGTCTGAGTTGCATGGAACGGAAAAAACTACAGGCCCAAAATAAACTGGGAAGGCAACTTTTCTGCATGATACACTGTGTATTTGATGTTATGGTGCTTATATGGTAAAAACTTCTTCCTTTATTTATTTATTTATTTATTTATTTATTTTTTTACTGTACCCCAGGTATGCTGTTCTGCGAGACCCAGCAGGCTGGCTGAGTGTGAATCCAGTCAGAGGAACTGTCAACACTTCAGCCTCACTGGATCGTGAGTCTCCTTATGTCCATGACAATAAATACACAGCTGTCTTCATCGCCACAGATAACGGTGAGTTGCAGAAACCCCCACTGAATGAAAACTAGAGAAGGCAATTAGATGTAAACAGTATGTGACATATGTAAAATAATCTATAAGACCAGAACCTTCAAATCAATAAATGTCCATTTTGCTACTTTTTCACTGATATAATGCAACAGTAATTGGTAGCTAGTCAATGAGAGGCTTTGAATTTACTCTCTGAAACTGATTATAAAAAGTTAACTTTAACTACCACTTTAAACAAACATGTTTTTATAAAGTATTCGATGTGTTTAAAGTGTTTTTAAGGGAATTAGAACTGGATAAAGATTCTTCTTAGTGCAGTGGGAGCATGCCAGCAAGGTTTCCCACCATAGATCCATTCTTTTGTTTTTCAAATAACTCCTCCTGGGTGACGAGTGTTGGTGTAGAATTGTTGAAGCAAACATGAAAAGGTAGAAACAAATGAGTACAGTAGACCGTGTATAAGTACAGTAGACCTACATACTTGGAAAGGACTTACTTTGTCTATTAGTTTGACCTGGTCACAGTGAAAGTGTCACTTTCCCATGGTGACATTGGGATGGTCTTAAGTGGGACTGCCTCTATTGGAGCATATGGTGGCTGGTTGGCAGTGTCAGTGGAGCTGTTACTCTGAGACTTTCCGAGGCACAGATGAAAGTGTTGAGATGGCCCGGCGCGTCTCTCTTTTCTTCTCTTTGGTTCACTCTCCATCTCACCGTCTCTCTGTGTCTCTCTGTCTCTTTGTCCCCCTCTCTCTCTGTCTCTCTCCCTCTCACTATCAATCTATCTGGTCTCCTGTGCTCAGGGAGATTCTGACAGATCCATTAGAGGAACTGAGAGATTCTATTAGTAGGCAGCAGAATAGCACTGTTGTGCTGGGGAATTCGGCAGCCTTAGATAGATGAGCGTTGAAAGAGGAGTAAGGATGGGGCAGGAGAAGAAGGTGGAGGAGGTGGAAGGGTCAAGCGAGGAAGAGAAAGGGAGGGACATAAAGGGGAGATAAAAGGAAAAAGATATAGAGCCATGGAAGTGAGTAAGGAAGATGTGGAGAAGAGAAATGGTGAAGATTATGAGTGGACACAGAGTAAGATTAGTGTTGGAGCCAGAGGGAAGACAATACAACTTGATATTACAGTGGAAATCGAAACTTAAAGTGATCACGTCTGTCTGGGTCAAATTGATGTCTATAAGTGGATGATTATTATAACTAACATTCATATATTTATTACATGTTTAGATGTTGAGATATTTCAGTGGATAAATTAAAAATTTGATCTGCTGGTAGAGCTAGAGAGAGAGAGTCAAGGGATGGACAAAGTTATTCGGATTCATCCTCTGAGGATTATTTATGTTTAAGATGTGAGATAGTTAAGATACACTCATGTCCATGCTGCTTTCTTTTGCACAAAATGCACATATAAAGATTCAGGCGAGTAGAACCATAAAAATCCCTGAACCTCGACCTTAAACAACTTACTGTCCCAACGTTTGAATACATGTGGCTCTCGTGCGGTTGAAATGTGAGCAGAGCACTGATATCAGCTTGACCCCTGCCTCACCTTTTTTGCTGTACACTCTGCCATCAACAGGACAAATTTGCTTCTTCCCCACACCGATCTGCGCAATGATTGTATGACAGCCCACCTATGTAGACTACCAACAGGATATCGATTGACCCTTACCTCTTCATCTTTATCTTGCACATAAAGACCAGATGAATACATATCCACCCTGCGCTGGAGAGGGAGAGGGTGAGAGTGAGAGAAGGAGAAATAGAGCCTTGTCAAACAGAAAGGAAGGAGGTCAAAGGAGAGGCATGGATGAGAAGAACCACAGCACAAAAAACAATTGGGAAAACATATTGTGGAATAAGAGAAATGGACTGAGAGTAACAGGTATTAAGGGAGGTTAGAGAGATGCCATTACATTATATTATCTATATTTTTTCATTACACTTGACAATAAAAATCTGCCTCATCAACCATAAACTTAGATTTTTGCCTACTCAGTAATATCTCTCAAATTTAAATACATGCTGCCAGTTTTGTTTATAGAACTGAACCTGGGTTAAAAGTTTTTCTGGGATAAGAATTTTCTCCTTTGTCAATGGCCAGCCCCATGACCGGTGTAAACTGATTTGACCTTGTGTGCTAGCTTGAAACAGGAAATATACTCTTGGTAAATGTCTTGCATGGTTAGCAACAGATTGACTGTAGCTCCTGGTTAACAGCATGAGGGCAGGTCAGCTGGAGCAGCCCTCAAGGCAGCAACAGATGGTGAACAATGGAGCAAACATACTACAGGGAAGGAAGGAAGTCAGGATCGAGAAAGACAGGCGGACGGAAGACAGAAATAGGACAAACAAAAAGACGAGAGGAGCAGAGAAGAGAAGAGCACAGGATCTGAAGGTTTAACAACGTAGTGAACTAATGACATGGTTGTGTCAAGGTCAGAGGTCATCTCAGCTGGGGAATTTGCAGAGGTGAATCTGTAGTCTGGAGGTTACACTCTGTTGCCATAGCAGTCAACTGCACTTGCAGGAGAAGCCATTTGTCACTCTATAATGTGTGATTTTCATTGTGTGTGCACATGTGCATATGCACACATGAGTATAAATCTGTCAGTTTATTTACATACACTGGTGCTCACAGTCATCCATGCATCTGTATTTGTGCATGTTGTACCCCTGCTTCTGATCATGTGTTTCTGCTTTTGAGTTAATGACTGGAAAGGCACAATCCACTTTAGCCTGGGCAGCGGCACCTGGCAGGCCGACGGTGTGGTGCAATATTGTTTGAGGAGATATTGTTCCACCCTGAGCAGAGGGCTTGACGGGCTGTTTATATAAACTCTCATCAGTAGCTGCTGGTTTTGCACTCAAACAAATTCTCCTCTGCTCTCTGATTCCCCACCGGGACGCCAGCTGTTCCCACATCTTACCCCCTTCTTCTTCCATCACATTAGTTTTTGGATTCAGTGCTGGAGGATCTGTGTGTCTGTGTGTGGGTGGATTGAAGTCATGTGTTCATCCTGGTTTTTAATGTCTTTGTCCTGTTACATGCAGTGCCTCTCTGGCTTGCCCCTGTGTCTCCACTTGCTGCTGTGTGTTGTGGTTCAATGTTTTCTCCTGCTCCTCATTTAAATGTTAAACCGCCTCCTGGTGGGAGTCATTTGTCATTGGAAGGCATGAATACATTATCAAAGCCCCAGTCGTCTGAAACACGGTGGTGCACACACACACACATACACACACACAAACACACACACTGTCCTCTGCGTCTGCCACCACAGAACCTGCTATTAGAAACTCTTAAGTTATGCACGGAAGAGCAAAACAGTATTTGCTTTGAACACATGGACGTACGGAGGAGAGACCTCCGTTTAGACTGAGAACTCCTTGTGCATGTGTGTGTCTGTCTATCTGTATCGCAGTGAGACATCCTCCACACAGTCAAAGAGAGCTTTGTTAATTACAGGAATATTAAGTATTACACACACATAGACACACTCAGACTGAGCAGTGTGGTAAGTCTCAGCATTCATCACAGTCAGATCACATCCCCTCTGGTTCAAATCAAAAGGAGGAGGCAAAAGGATAGAGGGGTTGCTGAATTTTAATGGGTCAGAGAACAAACTCTTTAGTGCTCAGATGGATGTAAAATTAGATAAAACTGTGTGTGAATGTGTGTGCGTGTGTCTACGTGCAGAATGTGTGTATCTGTCCACCTCTCTGTGACAGGAGTAATGAGTTCATCATCTCTCTCTCTCTCTCTCTCTCTCTCGCTCTCTCTCACTCTCTCTCTTCTCTTGCAAAAGAGAAAAAGACCGACAGTGGTAGCAGCTGTCAGTAGCAGAGAAACCTCCCTCTGTGTGTCTGTGTGTCTGTGTGTGTGTGTCTTTACATGTGTCCATCTTCGTGTGTGATGTCTGCCACTGTGCTGCCTCATTGCCATGCTAACTGCTGGGAACCAGTGTGCCGCTCATTGCCATAATAGGCTGAGTAATTTCCGTGTTTCAGGCCAGCCCCAGATACAATGGTTTCGCTGCTAAGTGTCTGTCATGTCACCAGCGCACAGTCAGGCAGCCTTGCAGGCTAAATGCAGATAGATAGACTCATGTTGTGTCTTTAGCCAGCTGTGATCAGGCTGCCTCAAACTACAGCACAGAAATGATAAAGTATGAGAGTGAGTGTGTCGGCCCACTGCGCTGAAATCCCCAGGCCAAGAATAGAATAGAATAGAAGTTATTGCCAAGATGTATGTTAGTGTTTACAGATATTCTTTTAGTTCTCCAGGTGCTATTCTTGTTAATAATAACCTTTACCTTGTTATTAAACAGATTTCAGAACAGATCATGCAGGGCAGGGTTTTTTTTTTTTTCCTGGGAGTTTCTGATTTCTTGAGCTGTGGGCTTGGATCTCCTCTGTTTCTGTGTGTGTTTGTGTGGCAGCAGTGGGCAGCGCACTCACACACAACATCAAATGACGAGCCTCACCCGTGAAATTCATACCTAATGACTGGAAGAACATTGCAGCAATTGGACTACCAGCATATGGTTTAGCTTTGCCCACAAAACACTGCTTCACTGCTTTTGTTGTGGGACTGTGGATTTTCCTTTCTCTATTGAACTGAATGGATACTGAACTGAAGTGAAGTGATCGAACTGAATTTTATTGATGTCCTGCTAGAATGTCTTATACTATGTTCCATAGTAATGCTGTTGTCATGTTTTGAGTTAAAGGGCAAAAGAGGTTTTATATATTATGCACCTGCTCATCCAAGACAAGGGACAAGACGGGACGAACCCGTTAGCCCTAAAAGAATGTTAAAGACCGGCCCTCAAACAAAAGCATTCATTCGAAAGCTCAAAATTGAGGTTGAAACAACTATTAGGGCAGTCTGTTTTGAAACAGAGGGTTAAGTGACTAAAACTTGAGAGCGATTGTGATTATGTTTTGTGTATCGCATGTTTTATTTTAGTAAACTGACAATTATTTCATTTAAAGG